GGTGCCCGTGCTCGTTGGTGAGCTAGAGCCATTTTTCAACTGACAGAGCTCAATATCAAGGCAATTCCGTCATGTTTTCAATGTGCGCTTGCACGAGCGCACGCTAATGACGCCATAAATTATGCGCAGTAAGGACGCGCAATACATGACTTCACATGAACATGACTTCGTTACACATGAACAATGATAATTGTTTTCAGCCTCTTTACAGTCAAACCAAGTGAAGCTTGGTGCGTTCCTTTGGGGTGATCTGGATCAGTGATCGAAGATCACTCGGATCAGTTCATCAGAGGAACCCATAAATCCGTGACCAGAGTGGATTCATCGGTTCCCTTGATATACCATGATCTCAGTGATCTTGAATCACTGACCCTGATCCAGATCACCCCAAAGGAACGCACCCTTACGGGCGGATTTAAGGAGGGGGGGCGGGATTGGGCGACTAGCCACCCCCCATCTCGGAGAAGCAAAACATGAACAAAATTGGAAAAGATTGTGAATATTATGGTAAACGTTCAGGACAGGTACCTTATTGTAAATTCTACTTTGTGGCATTGCTAGTTCCAGGTCTCATGGAAATTGCAATATTTTCGGGGCATCCACTATCGATTCTGCAGCCCCAAGGTACCAGCAACCCCCCTCCCCCCTTCTCCCTTGACAAATCCTGGATCTCATGAATTGATAATTTGAATATCGAACCCGCATGTCCAAGATCAAGAATGCAATAATGAATTGATCATTTGAACATTGAATTCGCTTTTCGTTTCAAGAATTCAATAATAAATTGATTATTTCATTGATTATTCGCCCGGTATTAAAAGTATATGTATGTAGGTAATATTGAACCCGTTAGCCGCATTCTTGGAACGAATACTCGGTCAATTTTCAAATAATCGATTTATTATTGCATTCTTGAAATGCCTAGCGGTTCAATATTCAAATAATCAATTCATTTTGTTGTCTTGAGGGGTACGCTTCAGTTGGTTTGATTGCAATACAGTTTCATTCTGCGCAGTCCGTCTGAAATGGCGTCGAACAAACATGAAGTTATCGCGATTACAGGGGTTTCTGCAGGCTTAGGCCTTGCTATGGTGAAATGGTACGCATCCAGAGGCCATACAGTGTTAGGATGTGCAAGATCGGCCCAAAAGATAAGTCAGCTGAACGACGAATACTGTAAAGGAAACAAACCCAAGCAGTTTTCTGTTGTTGATATTATGAACGAGGCGGAGGTGAAACGTTGGTCTGAAGAGGTTATTCCAAGCTTTGGAGCGCCGACTTTTCTCCTGAACAATGCTTCTGTAATTAACAATAATGCCAATCTCTGGCAAATTTCTGCAGAGGAGTTTAACGATGTTATTGATATCAACATCAAAGGTACAACAAATGTGATTCGCCATTTTGTCCCCGAGATGATCAAAGCAGGAAAAGGCGTGGTCGTCAATTTTTCTTCTGGTTGGGGAAGGAGCGTAGCGGTGAATGAGGCTCCTTATTGTGCCTCCAAGTGGGCCATCGAGGGCCTCTCCAAAGCAATGGCCCTAGAGCTACCTGAACCGTTGACCTGTGTTCCATTAAGTCCTGGAATTGTCGACACGCCTATGTTAAAGATCTGCTTTGGAGAACAACGTGCGTCACTACACTATTCACCAGAAGAATGGGCCGAGACTGCTTGTCCATTCATTCTCTCCATAGACCATTCTCAGAATGGAAGTAGCCTCACAACTCCTTGATCGCAATGTAGACTCGATGACATTATTTTAAGACACTGACTTCAGTTATAGTTGACATAGTTTGTGAAGGGTCAATTTTTGTGGTAACTGACGTCATTGTTGGCACAAATTTTTAAGATATTTTTCGGATGTATTTGGTATTTGTTCATTTTGGCATTCATTTGACATTTATTCAAGCGACATTTATTCGTATTTTATTAACTCTGTATTTCATTTATTCAGGAATTTCCCTTGCCATCGATATAACTAATTATGACGGAACTCTGATGTTCTTTTTGGGTCGTCGGTTTGCTCTTAGAAGAAGATTTTCCTATTTTTATTATTTTGGGTTCGTTTTGGGAAATTGAATACATTGAGGGTATTTATTACATCTTGGTATTGGGTAAACAACTGTCAATGGATCATTTCAGGGACTTTTCATGAGAATTATCAAAGGATTAATAAACCACCAGGAAAAAGAAAATGTTCTTTTACGAAAAGTTCTCTGTTAATTGACTCAATCAAACGATAAAAGAAAAAGAAACGTCGAAAAGATGCTGATAGCTTTTGAAGGAAACTACTATGCGGATTATTTCCTTTCAGATAATAAATAAGTATTCTTAAAAACTAGACCATTGGATAATGCACTTCAAGAGTTTTCATTGGCTTAACCATCATAGTATATGAGCCATTATACCGTGCTCTTCCGTGCTCTACAAATAGAGTAAGTGTACAAGTAATTTTTGGGGGCATTTTTATTTTAGCTTTCAATATTTTAGGGGAGTTTATAATAAAACAAAAATTATTCCACTCGCGCTTGTTGGATATGAGATGACTGATGTAACGCAATCGCCAACAGCATAATGTCACGTATTTGTGGTATTCAACTGGCTGGTATGGAATTGTCTAAAGAATCGTAACCGCCCTAATGTTAAGGAAGTGGGCAACTGTTGGCCATCTGCTTCACAGCATGAGCCAAAGATGCCCAGATTTGTTCCGGTAGCAGTGGCACTGCCAAAAAAGACCTCCTTTTCAAAAAACAATAATTCGTTGAACGTCTTAAACCGCTTTCCCCGCCTAATGTCAGCTTCGTTGCCTGACGCCTGGGTAACGAGGAAGATCTTGCAAGAACGTTCAACTCAGTTTATTAAATAGGCCATTTCTAGGTTACCTTGTGCCTCTGTTTCAAAACGAGTCTTTGGGCAATAAATGAGTTTGATTTGCATGAAAATGAACATGTTAGTGGAACATATTTCCATATGAATGGTTTCCGACGAAGACTCGTTTTGACACAGAGGCAAAGGCAACTCGGAAGTGGCCCATTGAAATACCAGTTTCAACCCGAGTAATCAGTCTAAAAATGGCGTCGAACGAACACGAACTTATCGCAATTAAAGGGGTTTCTGCAGGATTAGGCCTTGCTATTGCCCAATTTCAAACCGAGAGAGACTGGCACTAATTTAATTTTATCCGGACGGAAGTGGCCTTTTGGCTTTTCTTTCGTGAC